CATTTCTGAAGAAGGGTCTAGGCCTGAAACGTCGGCCTTCCTGCTCCTCTGGTGCTGCTTGGCCTGCTGTGTTCGTCCAGCTCCACACCTTGTTGTCTCAGATTTTCCAGCATCTGCAGTTCCTACTATCTCTACACTTCAAATGTGTTTGATTTGCTATAAAGTGCTTTGAGAAATCCTGAGTTCACCTTCAGCACTCCATAACTGCCAGCTTGCTGTTTTTCCTAGGAATGCCACTGTCATTGCCATATGGATTCAGCTTATTTGAAGAGAGGAGTAGGGAAAAATTTGCGATCATATCATATTTAGTGAGAAAAGGCGAGATGCTGAAATTCAGAAACCTCAACAGTCATTTTTGCTTAACGATGTCCAAATTGTAAGGGATGGACTTCAATCCAGCTGCTGTTGTGCATGACTCACTAATATATCACTACAGAAATAGAGAGCATTGTGAAGGATTACATTCTCAAAAGGCCAAGTGAATTGCTTGTGCAGTGAAGCACGCTAAAACTGATCTGAAATTAATGTCTAATTCAATTATAGTCAAGAGTACTGGTCACATTGAAGCACCTTGGTTTGTCTTTCAAACTAAAGTTCAATTCTAATCATATCAACTGATTTCCACTTCATTTTCAATCTAGTTAGTGCTTATATAGCAGTAGCTGGATGATGGGGACTAAGTGAACAGTGGTTCCTATTAATGAGTCAGCTTCTTGTATTGTCCTGAATAATGAACAACCATCCAGTGACAGTTACATTTATATCAATTCCATGGAAGGGTTATGGGAAAATGGGAAGGACACACAATTAAGAATGTAAGCAGATTAGACAGGCTATATTCTTTCTTGTCGGCTGCACACGTTATTAGAAACTGGCTGCACCTCTCAGAATAATTTTTCAGTGCACTGCTCATTCTGCATCAGTCAGCCTTCCTATGTAAATAAAGACGAACTGTGCCCTTTTGTTTTTTTACCCCACTTGGTTGGGCTGTTTGCCAGTAGTAAGGCATTGACATTATTTGTTGATCTGAGAGATCAAGTTTGCCTGGCTGTTAGCCAGGAGCACTGTCTGTGTGCATGCTTTGCATTATTTAGTGCAATCAGTGGAGCTGATGGTCAGGTTGCAGTCTGTAGGGAACATGAAATCATCGGCATTGAACATGACCCTGGCATAACTTCAGTAATCCTCTGTTATACTCCTTTCTGATGTTAATGCCTGACCTCCCAACTTATCCTCATTTATGAACAATTCTCCTTGTTGCATTACTTAGGTTGCTGCTAAATGTTAGACCAAACTCCATAACCTTGAATAACTTTGGCTGTACCTCATGCTTTCAGTGCTTGATTGGCACCCCATCTTCCATATGAATTATTCATTCCCCTTACACTCTCACATGCACACAGTGTCTGAAATTTGTACCATCCACAATATGAATTGCAGCAACTCAATAAACCACCAACCATCTAACCCTAATAGGAACCAATGTGGCCCTGCCATAGCTAATATTATTGGTGACCAATCTGATCAGAGCTGGGAAGTGGTCAGAATTTTACAGCTGACTCTATAATCCTGTCCAACTGAGCAAAGAGGTAGGGACTCCGTGGTAGCAGAAAGACACTTCTTTAAAATAAGTGAGGGCAGAGGTCTACCAAGGCTGGATCTTTAAGTATATTCAAGGCTGAGATGAACAGATTTCTAATCATTAAGAAACCAAACTTGGGATAAGGCAGGAAGGTGGAATTGAGGATTATCAAATCAACCAAGTTCTCATTGAATAGCAGAGGAGATGCAATGGGCCGAATGGCCTATCACTGATCCTGCCTCTTATGGTCCTACAGTGATCAATTTGTTAGTTGATTTTTATCCCCTCATCCATCCCCAGCCCACTTGTACCATCTCAGCATTGCCCAGCTGAGAACAGCAACAAACTTTCAATTCATCCAAATTTTTGACTATAGTTGTTTATTGTATTTTTCGCTCCTATAACTTATTTGCAATCTTGTACAATCACCATTATTGTGTAGTCACCCTCCTAGTGTTTTCTAGGCCAGGGTCGATCAATGGAAATGAACAATTATGTATTGGATAGATCTGAAAGTCTTTTCTTCATGAAAGCAAGAAGAAGCAACGGCCATTCTTAGCCACAAAGTATAAACTCATTCAGAATGCAGAATAGCTTCCAGACACTTTGGTAGAAGATACTAGTTGATAAAATGTTTTCAAATACTCTTGCTCATCTCATGTACAGTTTGGAATTTCAGCTCTCCCAAAAATAATAAACATGAGATGGTACAAGTTGAAGAATGTCACTAATTTAAACTAAATTAAGTGTTTAATTTAAAGTTCGCCCCAGAGAGTTTTGGCACTATCTTTTCTCATTGCTGCTCAGCAGTCAATTCCAAAGGGAAGTTTGAGGCAAATGTTCAGGAATAAATCGCAGCTTTCACAATTAAAGAGTCAGAAGCAACTTGCTGGCAGGGAAGTGGATTTCCTACAGTCAACAACCGTAAAATATTTTGCACACAAAAACAGAAAGTGCAGAAGTAACTCAGCAGGTCTGGCAACATCTGTGGAAAGGCAACAAGAGTTACCATTTCGAGTCTGGTCACAAGACTCACTTTTGAATTCCAGCCCATTGTGATAAAGGTCATTCACCTTTCAAATTATTAATTGTTACAAAGACTCAAAATAAAAATATGAAAATATTGTCATGATTTAATCCATTGGATCAAAGAAAGGAGATCCATGTTAATTATATAGATACTGGTTGAATAATTATTTTACAGTGAATCAATATAAAACACTTGAAACAGTACATTGAAGTCAGGTTATTTTTCTTTGTCATATCTTTGGAAGTGTTATCCAGACTCTAAATATTCCAGCCTCAATATCTGGTCTGTGCTGAGCCTACATGATCCTGTTAAACTCATCACTACTTTATTAGGAAAGAATATTTGTCTAAAGTTTGCATTCCCAATTGTTATCCAGAACTCTTGCTGGCAGTACCTATGTTCTAATTGCATGTGAGTATGATTGAATGATTCACGGAAGGTAATTTAATGAATAGAATTGGACTCCACTATGATATGCTGTTCCCCATACCCCCAATATCTCCTGTCAATCCATGCCCCAGGACTAGTACTTTGTCCATGGCATTGGTGAGGCTCCTTGTGTAGAATGTGCAAGGAATCAATCCCTTAGAAGGGGAGGATTAACTTCTGCTTTGATATTTGAAAACAAGCCCTTGATAGCGAAGTTTAAAAAATGTGACGATACAAAAAACCTCCTTATCTCTCTTACCCAACTCAAGCTTCTTGTCTGAACTTGACGAGCGATTTGAAATGAAATCTTCACATACGTTTCCCAATCTCTCTAGCAGATGCTCTTCACAAGATGAGGCTTGGAAAATATTGTTGGAGAGGAAAAGTCTTTGATCCAACAGTTGAAATTTGGAAGTGTGCTAATTGCTGTGTGAACAATTTTGGGCTATGATAAGGTTAAGAAGAACAAGGCAGGAAGAATTTTAAAACACTAAAATTGGGTGAAATAGAGTACAAATCAAATCAGATACAGCAGGTAGAAACTCTTGGAAGTACTCATATTTGGATTAGGATGAAAGAGATGTTGATGCTTTGACATGCTGAATATAATTTATGAATACAGTTCAAAATGTTGTCTGAATTATGTAATGCAACATTGTTTAAGCATCACTAAATACTGATTAGAGTGTAATTTTTCCTTTGACTTTTGGACAACTACGTAACCAAGAAGGAATTTTGATGTTAGACAACTAATTAAGATAATTGGCAACCATCTTTTCAAACATTAATGTTAGTCTAGCGCATATTTAACTGCCAAAGCATTTTAATTCTTGCAGTGAATTGCTTAAACAGATTAAATATTCCCAGTGTTGTACCCTTCTACGCTTTTAAGTCAGTTCATCTTTCCTGTAGTCTCAGGTCCAGAAATAATGCAGTCCTCAAGAGGTGGTCTGAACAAGGCACTATCTAATTGAAATATCAGTTACTCACTTTTGAATTCCAGCCCACTTATGATAAAGATCATTCACCTTTCTCAGTATTAATTGGAACGAAAATATAAAACAAAAATATGAAAATATCGTCATAATCTAATCCATTGAATCATTGAAAGGAGATGCATGTTAATGATATAAATGCTGGTTGATTAATTATTCTATAAGTAATAGTGAATCAATGTAACACCCTTGGAACAGTACAATAAATTCAGGCTATTTTTCTTTGTCATGTTCGTTCTTTGATTTTGGTTTTGATATTGATCTATCAATGTTCTACGTATTGATCAATTTGAAAGAATGTCAGAAAATCCTTTGTCCAAGCCGGTCTCAAGCTTTAAGCACATTTCTAAAGCAACACTGCTGGCAAAATGCCTGCTTCTATCTCTTGGTAAGCAATAAAATCCATCATGTAAGAGAACTGGGCCTGAATATATGGGTGAAAATCTTAAGGAATTGTTCTTGCTCAATGCATCACTAGCACTAAAGATCAATATAATTTTACTTTGTAGGCAAGAAGCTGTTGTGTAATACTGAAGTCAGTTCTTTGTTGACTTGCCTTTTATTCGTCTTGTCCCTTCTGGTATTTCCATTTATGGCATATGTAATCCTCACCTTCTGTTTACTGGCTTGTAGATTTAATGACAATGTACTGACCTCTGTACATTACCTCTTGCAGGATCGGATGTTTTTTGTGATGGAGTATGTAAATGGAGGAGATTTGATGTTCCAAATTCAACAAGTACGAAAATTCGATGAGGTGCGTGCCCAATTCTATGCTGCAGAAATTACATCAGCCCTGATCTTTCTGCACAACAAGAGAGTTATATACAGGTAAGGATGCAAAAGTATCTTTGTGACCAAACACCATCATTACAAGATGTACAAGATGGCTCAAAGGATCTTATGGTTTCAATGGGGAATCCCATAGAAAAGCAGAAATTTGCAATGGAGAAGGTGAATCAATTATTTTTGTGTTAATTCTTTACTAAAACAATTCAAACCTAACGTGGTGCTCTCTATTGTGGAGGGGATCTGCTAGGTCTTTACCTTCATTAAAAGGGATGGCTGGAATAGAGCTGAATTGTTTTGTAAACTGTAAGAATGATTGGCAGCTGTTACTGCTGGTGTTCAATTTTAGATTCACATCCTGTATTCACTGAACTTTAATTTTAATCAGCAGTGTCTTTCCACGAATCTTACATTGAAAAGGATTTTTAATATTTCACTACAATTCCACATTGCTCAACAGTTTTTCATTCAGACTCCAGTTTTTTTAAAAAGTGCTGGTGAGTGGAATGGAGTGGAATATTTGCTAACTGTAAGCTGAGCTATGACAGGAATCAGTTGATAATTTCTTTACTGTAAGGCGCTTGAAAGTAAATTCCAATGACGAAAATGGGAGAAGCTGATGGGAACTTATAGCGGTGGGTTAATATTGTGGGATTTATTCTGACATGTTTGTGCTGTGATAAATCACTTTCCATGCACATGATTTATGAAAACAGGAGATTATTTGAGTCAGTTAGAACAACGACTGATTGATTTAAATGTTACAATTTCCAGTAACTGGCAAATGCAATGCCATCACCTGGTTGCTAGTTTGGCTATGCCACTACAACATGGCAATAACAGTCAATGTGTAAATATTTACATAAAGATGATAAATATGTTCAATGGATATGTGCAGAGTGGTTGATCAAATTTGAAAAGTGAATTTAGTACATTTTCACATTGGGATTTTGCCCAGGGTTACAAATATTCAATCAAAGCTAAACATTCAATCGAGATTCAGTTCAAGGCTTTCTCAATGAATACGTGACACCAGCTGAAATATTTGTGCACCATGAATCAGCACTTTTGTGAATATAGCTTGACAGTCTGAAGGATTAGTCATTATAGAAATCTGCTACTTTTATTTAACGTCAGCAATTTGCTCCTTTTCTTCATTTCTTTATAATGGGCTCTCTATATTTCATGTCCAGTGGATTTGTTTGTAAGCAAATTGAATACAGGCTGTGCTATTTTTGGCAACAGATTTCTCCAACAAGAAGTGGTTTTTATTGCTATACACAAAGATGCATTCTGTAAACACGCTCGTCACAAGGCCACCCAGATACTTCCTGTAAATGTGTCTGTCACGAGAGTCCTAGAAACCACTGGATGCTCACAACGCTACAAGCCATTTGTAATTGGTCTGGCTATTGAACAGATCCTATACACCAGGCTGTCAAAAGCCACCTCTGAATGTGCAACATACAGAGGACATCAGCTCCATTAGGTGAATATTGAGTCAATGATCCAAAGATTACAAACATTTTACGTTTAAGTTTATGTGAATCATGTGACAGCTTTATCAGTGAATGTTGCTGTCACTGACTTGACTGCAGCTGTCTAGTGTCATTGGTTCTAAAACACTTGGGTTTTATTGTTTCTGACCTTTATAATATTTTCCTATATGTTGGATCAAATGCAGCCTCTTTTCAGAAAAGCTTTCCCGATGATATGTGCGGAAGTGACGATACAGTCAATTATTATATCTTTGGAATTTATTCCATTTGAAAAGATTGATAAGTAAACAGACTAGAAACTTCACATTTATATTGCTACCTTAATGATATTAAACTGTGAAATAAAATAAAAAAACTGCAGAGGGTGGAAATCTGAAACAAAAACAGAAAATGCTGGAGAAACTCAATAGACCTGGCAGCACCTGTGGAGAGAAAACAGCTGACATTTCGTGTCCAATGGCTCTTCCTCAGAACTGAGATTAAATTGTGATTAGTTTAAGGTAATTTAGGGTGAACAACTTTGACATGAATTGCTCTTCAGTTCTCCTGTACTCGCCCGATGGTCGTGATTCTGCCATACAGCTCACATATTCCAACAAGTCTGATTTGACTATTTTGCATGTGTAAGCTGACGTGGTGAACGGAGACAGACTATTTGAGCATGGGTGGCACTGTGGAAGAGCCTGCTCCTTTTCTTGGCTAATAGTTACACCCATGCACCTTGCAGCCTAGATGTAGAAAAGAGAACACTGACAGGTTATCCCCTTACATCATCAACGGGCATTGAGGGCAATATTGGTGCCTCAAGTAGAATGTGACATGGAGTAGGCCACCTCCATCATCATCATTGATTGTACTTAACTCAGGAGCAGCAAGAGGAGTTTATCTGTAAGTCTTTGACAATGACCAGATAGTGTAAGGATTTGGAATGTTGTGTTCACTGGTTATAATGGTAAAGGCTCAGCTTTCTTAAAAAATTCTCAAACTCTATGTTTCAATTTCTCTCCAATTCTCTGTACTTAAATGACTGGGACATGGCTTTAGGAGTAACTAGTGCCCTCATTCAATTTGTTTTCTTCCACATATGCTGTGTGACTGATCATAGGGGCCATTACAATAGCCTGACATCTATACTCTCATTAAGGTCTGATGGGCAGCTTTCAGGGATATTGTGGCGTAGTGGTAATGTCACTGGACTAGTAGTCCAGGCCCAATTATCTGGATGTGGTTTCTCCCTCACCAATAGTCTTTGTTTCAGAGAGATACTCATGATATCATCACTATATCACAGCATGTGATCTGAGGGTATAAAGACTTCATACTCCATCTTACCTTGAATCACCTGAAGCATTGCACTCTACCTGAGGTTTGGTAGGCTGTTGTAACCTAACAGCTTAATATTAGCCCAGAAATGTATGTGTCTGAGGAATGTAATCTTTGTAGTAATGATTAGTTGTATAAATTTCTGTTGGATTCTTTGCTACTATGTAATCCCCAATCAGTTTTTTATTATAAAAGGAAATAACATAAACATTGCTACATTGGGAAAAACACTCTGTTGGAGCCAAACCCACACCACTAGGGTTACAGGTTCAAATCTAAGCATGGCAGTTGGTGAAATTTAAACTAAATTAAGAAATCTGGGACATAAAACTTGTCTCACTAATGATGGGCACCATGTCAATTATCATTGATTATTGTAAAATCCTAACTGGTTTATGAATTTTCTTAATCTGTCATCCTTTCTTGGTCTGATCTACATGATACTCATGATCCATAGAAATGTGGTTGAGTCTTAACTTCCCTCTGAGTGACAAAGCTATCAACTAAGTTCAAGTGCAATTAGGAATGTGCAACAAATGATGGCTATGCCAGTGACATCCACATTAAATGAGTAAAGAATCAAGAACAGAGCCTCCCTGCTGAAACCATGTACATTGAAACCAATTTCCAGCACATTGAGAAAGCCTGAAATGAGAAAAGGCTGGCTTATCCATCACAAGCTATGTCCAAGGTTTGTTTGCAATCTGCCCATTGATTGACTTGATCGATACAACTTTGCAAGTGTTTAATTCAGATGATAAAAACACCTCTTGGAAGTGCATTAAGAAAACTCTACCCATACCTTCTTGCCATGTCACTTCCTTGATCGCAGAACTGCTAAAACCATTTTACACCAATGAAAAACTTAATGAAGATATGATACTCCAATGAATTCCTACCAGGTTTGTAGGATATGGTGCCGTAGATTCGTATAACACAAAAGGAGGTCATCGTGTTTCAGCATTTGATTTTTTTATAAAAGCCACCAATATAAACCACTTACCTTTTGAACATCATTATTGATCTTTCATCACCCTCTTATGCAGTGTATTTCAGCTCATACCAACTTATTGAGTCAATTTTCTCATTTCTCCCTGGCTTTAATGCAAATTATTTTAAATCTGTGTCTCCTGGTTACCCAATCTCCAACTAATGGAATATTTACTGTGTCAAAACCCTCCTGCATTTGCCCATTGAACCAACATCAAGGTCGTCTCCACTCTCCTTTTGTCTACCCCAACTCAGATCTCATATGCTTATTAAGATAATGTTTGTAAGTATTAACATGTGTGGTCACAGGACAATCATGCATGTCACATACAGAAATAACATTACCACTCACTACTGGGTTCCCAACTGGAAATTGTCTGTCCAGATGACACCAAAATTAGTGGTGTCGTAGACAATGAAGAAGTTATCTCAGAATACAACGGGACCTTGATCAGATGGGCCAATGTGCTGAAGAGTGGCAGATGGAGTTTTAATCTAGATAAATGTGAGGTGTTGCATTTTGGTAAGACACATCAGGGCAGGACTTACAAAGTTAATGGTAAGGCCCTGGGGAGGGTTGCCAAACAAAGGTGTTGGTGTAGATAGGGTGATGAAAAAGGTGTTCGGCATGCTTCATTGTTCAATGTGTTGAGGATAGGAGTTGGGACATCATGTTGCAGCTGTGCAGGACATCGGTTAGGCCACTATTGGAATATTGCATTTAATTCTGGTCTCCCTGCTATAGAAAGGAAGTTGTTAAACTTGCAAGGGTTCAGAAAACATCTACAAGGATTTTGCCAGGATTGCAAGGTTTGAGCTATAGGGAGAGGCTGAATAGCTGGGGCTTTTTTTCTTGGAGTGTCGGAGGCTGAGGGGTAACCTGGTAGAGGTTTATAAAATCATGAGGGGCGTGGATACAGTGAATAGCCAAGGTCTTTTTCCCAGGGTAGAGGAGTCCAAAACTAGCAGGCATAGGTTTGAGGTGAAAGGGGCAAGATTTAAAAGGGACCTGAGGGGCAAGTTTTTCATGCAGAGGGCGATGCGTGTATGGAAAGAACTGCCAGAGGAAGTGGTAGAGGCAGGTACCATTACAACATTTAAGAGGCATCTGGATAGGTACGTGCATAGGAAGGGTTTAGAGGGATATGGGCCAAATGCTGGCAAATGGGACTAGATCAGTGTAGGATGTCTGCTCGGCGCAGATTAATTGACAGAAGGGGTCTATTTCCA